ACTCTCCTCGACGCTTTCTTCTTGATGCTCCACTTGAGAGTCGTGCAAGTGAAGTACGCAAACCAGAACACAAGACCTGAAGCCAAGTTGTAGAACGCTCTCAGCATCGAAGCTTGAGCAAAGTGTACTGGCGCCAGCACAAGGCACTGCTGCACCCCAACAAGCGCCATGAACTTCACGATCAGGTCCTGACGGTTGACAAACAGGTAGGCCATGACAAGCATGAAGGGAGCGAGGGAAAAGTACTCGAACAGAAACCCCCGCGTCAGGCTCTTGTGCAGCGTCCATGGCTCGGTCTTGTCATGCCAGCCCCCCAGCAGCTGGACTATCTCCGTGAGGATCTGACAGAAGGTTTGGAAGATCTGAGCCTTCAAGTTCAAGACAGTCGTGAGGTAAGCCTGGTGGGGGGAGTTGTACCTGGCGTCATACACTGCCTTGAGCCACAAGGCTCCCTTGATCACACCACAGGGCCAGTGTAGGAAGACTATACACCATGCTGGTGTGGATCTGTTAGTAATGCCGTACCATGAGTGCATGGGCTCTGACATGGACCTGAATGTCTGAGATGTGCAAAGAAGTCCGTAGAAACAGAACAAGGTTTGGAAGTAAACTTTCGACAAGATGATCTCTGTGGCGCTCAAGCTCGACCAGGCGGTGAAGACAGGGACCTTGGAGTCGTTGAACTTCTCTAGCCTGTAGTTCATGTCCTTGGCTCGCATGTCTCCTCTCAGATGCTGCACCGCCAGCTGCAGCTCGATCCGCTTCCCCACAGACCCTAGACTCTCCAGCGAGCACGTGAGGCTCTCGCAGTCCTGCTGGTCCAGTTTTGCCACATGCTCGAGCGAGTAGAGCCCGTTCTTGGAGAAGACGCGGGCAAAGCAGATCAAGCCGTTCTCCCGCATCCACTGCAGCAGCTCGGCTCCCTGAGGCCTCGAGAGCTGAAGCTGCTGGATGCATTTCTTGGTGACGATGTTGCTCAGCAGCTTCGACACCTTCATCATAAGCTCCCTCTCGTCTCCTGTCGCATGCGCCTTCTTGAACTGCCCGATCTGCTCCTCCAGCAGCTTGTTGCAGTCGCTCAGCTCTTTCGCCCACAGCACCAGCATCTCCACGTACTGCAAGACACTCGCGATCTCTCGCTGGCACGAGAAGTCACCGGCGTGGACGCTCTTCTCGGGGATCACTCCGGGCAGGTGCTTGTGCTTCTTGGCGTAGGCGACGACCTCGTGCAAGGAGGGCTTCATGAAGTCTTCTTGGAACACAAAGTCAGGCCAGCCGTTGGACAGCCCGTGCAGCTTCACGTAGGAGAAGTAGTCATAGTCGAGGTTGATCGCCGGCAAGATCTTCTCCCCTCCAGCCCCCCTGCCGTCCCTCCTCGTGCCGTTGCCGGTCGCTTGCTCCGAGCTCCAGGGTGACGCGGGCAGGTGCGGGAAGGGCGTCCAGGTCGAGTCTGAGGCGGTCTTGAGGTTCTGCTCTCGCAAGAGCTTGGCCTTGAGCGCGAACCACGTGTCCTCTGAGCTCACAGCTGCCTCCGAGCTGGGCGTGGGGTTGGCGCTTTCACAGGGGCTGTCGTTGTCGCAGAGGCTCTGATGAGCCTGGCTCTCTGCTTGCGTCGCGCTCGGCTCGGCAGCAGGAAGCCAGAGGCTGCAGCGGGGCTGCGAGTCGTCGGGCGGGCAGTAGCTGACGGAGAGGATGGGGTCGAGGTGCCAGGAGGAGCTCTGATCGAGAGCTTCCTCCTCGTGCATCATCGAGGCTGAAGCAGCCAGACACGCGAAGAGATCGCTATCCGGCGACGAGTAGGAGCCTCCAGACTCTGCCACGAAGGGCGAGCACAAGGCCCCGTCCAGACAGTCATCGGGTGACTCGCTCTGACTGCTCCGCTCGCGCAGCATCTTGTCGTGGAGATCCTTCCAGTACTTGTGAAAGGCACCGTTGGAGTGCGACTCGACCGCGTTCCTCGACGCTCGGTTGTCTACCGTGATGGGGTTGGGCAGCCTCGGACCGCAGAGCTTGGGAAGGCCCTCGGCGAGCTTGTCGCCGGAGAGAGGACAGACCTTGCAGAGGATCACCTTCTTCCCGCACTGGCATTGCCCGATCTGACTGAAGTGCTCCATCGCGTGGCTGATCTCCCGGTCGCTGCTTCGCCCGAGCATCAGCTTGCAGATCGCAGGCGTGAGGACGTTGGACGAGCGCCATTGCGAAGGGCTGTGCTTGCACTTGTTGTCGTTGCTCCTGCTCGACGGCTTTCCTGGCATGCTCGTCGCCGCTGAAGCTGCAGGAGCGACCTAGGAGGAGGGAGCGACCTGCTTCCAGAGCTGCCGAGATGACCTGCAGAGCAGGAGCGTCAGGGGGCGGAGGGTCTCGAGGCGACGGTGGCAGCAGAGCATGAGAATGCGGCAAGGGGGGAGCGGAGCGGGGAAAGGAATGAGCAGGGGAGGCAGAATGGAGGGGAGATGGCGTGTGGGAGTGCTGGCCATCCTTCACAAGAGCAAATCAGGCACGAGCTGCAGGACCGCAAGGAGGGGTGCACAGGCTGAGCTGGGAAGATGGCGGGTGGGAGGGAGGAAGTAAGAATGTGGGGAGGAGAGGAGGATAGGGAGAGAAGAGGCCTCAAGGCATCCCAGATCGTAGGGAATGATCCAGCAACCAGCCTGACCGCATCTAGGCTTTCAGGGAGCGAGCGCTGAGAGGGTATGATGGCTCAAACAGACGGAAAAGAAACGTCAAGAGGAGCCAGTAACAGCTACAAAGCTCAAGCGCTCAGACGATGATGATGGCAGAAGGAAACACGAGGGACCTCAGGTAAGATGCAGCATCACATACAGCAGTAGCGAGAAACATGCTAGCTGGCCGAGGGAGAGAATGGAGAAAGAAAAGCAGAAACACAGGTAGGTGAAGCGCGAGCGAGGTGGAGGGTAAGGAGCAGGAGGTGTTTGTGATGTTGGAGAAGGATGAGGACTAGCAGGAGCAGGAGCAGGAGCAGGAGCAGGAGCAGGAGCAGGAGCAGGAGCAGGAGCAGGAGCAGGAGCAGGGCTTTACACTACTCTTGTTCATTCCGGGGAACGCACTTATCTTTACTACACGTTCTTTTACTTAACTTTCGTCTTATCTTCACCTATAATGATCCCCGGAACTTCGGAACCCCCGGCCGCCGGCCCGTCACGTCCGGGTCACCAGGCCAAGTCAGGCTCTCATCCGATGATCGTATGCCAGCCGTCACGGTGCCAGCCTGTCAGTTGGCGCCGAGTTAACAAACTTGAAAACTCTCCCAGTGTAAAACCACTGAGACGACGGACCCGGGCCTACTCCGCGGTTTCAACCAGGCGGCAATGTAGCACAGAGACCAACTTGAAGAGACCTTCCTAGCCGTCTTGCTAAGACGATCTTCTCATGTCCGATCTGGATGCTTGGGTTTCAAGTTTGGCACATCCTAGCGTACAGTCTATCTCTCATGTGCGGGGCCTCAGTCACGAGTCCCGACGGTAGTTCCGAAGGAGTCCGATCCGAGGCTCCGGACTTGCCAGCCTTGAAGCGGCTTTCAGTGACTCCGAAAGTTAACTGAGTTAACCCGGCCCTTTGAGGCGCGGCGGCCTCAGCCGTCGGCACAGACCGTCGGACGACGGCGCCGAGTACTAAATGAGTAGTACCGCCGGAGTCACAGGTACGGTAGGACTCCGGAAGTTCCCGAGTCCCGGCCGCCCGGCCCGGCCCGGCCCGGGATCATCGGATCCGGGACCGTCAGACTGAGACTGAGATCCGAGACGATTCCGAGTATCGGGCCGGTGCCGCGGCCGGGCGCCGAGCAGCGGCCCGGGGCGGGCCGGGCAACGGCCGGGCCCGGCAGGCGCCGCTCGGGAGTCAGCTGCAGACGTTGACTCAAGTTTAGCGAAGTTAACCTACTAGGGTCCGTTTGCTGGTCATTTCTTGAATTATCCAAGGGGTTGCATCTCTGTCATATGTTCATGTACAATATGAACCATTTGATCAATCAATGTAATATTGACATTATATATTGAAAATTCAGAGAATATTTTGAGAGAAATTTTCATAATGGTCAAAATTTATCTCTCATTTGACCCCCTATGAAAATCTCCTCACGAAAGATCCACCCCACCCCTACAGCCTTCAGGTCCGCCTTGCCAAGAAGTTTCTCACCCACATCACTTGGATTGAATACCACCCCATCTTTTGACTGTATAAAGCAGGGTCCAGGAGGTAAGGGGTGGTACCGTAGACTGCTGGTTCATGGCGCAGCAGCCGCCTTGCTAGGAAAGGAAGCGACTACAGCTCCAGCAGCTGCTTCCTGCCCCAAACCCTCTCCAGCACCTTCCTGTCCCTCATCCTCATCCTCCTCTTCCTACTCCTGCTCTCACGCTTCACCTACCTGTGTTTCTGCTTTTCTTTCTCCATTCTCTCCCTCGGCCAGCTAGCATGTTTCTCGCTGCTGCTGTGTGTGATGCTGCATCTTACCTGAGGTCCCTCGTGTTTCCTTCTGCCATCATCATCGTCTGAGCGCTTGAGCTTTGTAGCTGTTACTGGCTCCTCTTGACGTTTCTTTTCCGTCTGTTTGAGCCATCATACCCTCTCAGCGCTCGCTCCCTGAAAGCCTAGATGCGGTCAGGCTGGCTGCTGGATCATTCCCTACGATCTGGGATGCCTTGAGGCCTCTTCTCTCCCTATCCTCCTCTCCTCCCCACATTCTTACTTCCTCCCTCCCACCCGCCATCTTCCCAGCTCAGCCTGTTGCGGTCCTGCAGCTCGTGCCTGATTTGCTCTTGTGAAGGATGGCCAGCACTCCCACACGCCATCTCCCCTCCATTCTGCCTCCCCTGCTCATTCCTTTCCCCGCTCCGCTCCCCCCTTGCCGCATTCTCATGCTCTGCTGCCACCGTCGCCTCGAGACCCTCCGCCCCCTGACGCTCCTGCTCTGCAGGTCATCTCGGCAGCTCTGGAAGCAGGTCGCTCCCTCCTCCTAGGTCGCTCCTGCAGCTTCAGTGGCGATGAGCATGCCAGGAAAGCCGTCGAGCAGGAGCAACGACAACAAGTGCAAGCACAGCCCTTCGCAATGGCGCTCGTCCAACGTCCTCACGCCTGCGATCTGCAAGCTGATGCTCGGTCGAAGCAGCGACCGCGAGATCAGCCACGCGATGGAGCACTTCAGTCAGATCGGGCAATGCCAGTGCGGGAAGAAGGTGATCCTCTGCAAGGTCTGTCCTCTCTCCGGCGACAAGCTCGCCGAGGGCCTTCCCAAGCTCTGCGGTCAGAGGCTGCCCAACCCCATCACGGTAGACAACCGAGCGTCGAGGAACGCGGTCGAGTCGCACTCCAACGGTGCCTTCCACAAGTACTGGAAGGATCTCCACGACAAGATGCTGCGCGAGCGGAGCAGTCAGAGCGAGTCACCCGATGACTGTCTGGACGGGGCCTTGTGCTCGCCCTTCGTGGCAGAGTCTGGAGGCTCCTACTCGTCGCCGGATAGCGATCTCTTCGCGTGTCTGGCTGCTTCAGCCTCGATGATGCACGAGGAGGAAGCTCTCGATCAGAGCTCCTCCTGGCACCTCGACCCCATCCCCTCCGTCAGCTACTGCCCGCCCGACGACTCGCAGCCCCGCTGCAGCCTCTGGCTTCCTGCTGCCGAGCCGAGCGCGACGCAAGCAGAGAGCCAGGCTCATCAGAGCCTCTGCGACAACGACAGCCCCTGTGAAAGCGCCAACCCCACGCCCAGCTCGGAGGCAGCTGTGAGCTCAGAGGACACGTGGTTCGCGCTCAAGGCCAAGCTCTTGCGAGAGCAGAACCTTAAGACCGCCTCAGACTCGACCTGGACGCCCTTCCCGCACCTGCCCGCGTCACCCTGGAGCTCGGAGCAAGCGACCGGCAACGGCACGAGGAGGGACGGCAGGGGGGCTGGAGGGGAGAAGATCTTGCCGGCGATCAACCTCGACTATGACTACTTCTCCTACGTGAAGCTGCACGGGCTGTCCAACGGCTGGCCTGACTTTGTGTTCCAAGAAGACTTCATGAAGCCCTCCTTGCACGAGGTCGTCGCCTACGCCAAGAAGCACAAGCACCTGCCCGGAGTGATCCCCGAGAAGAGCGTCCACGCCGGTGACTTCTCGTGCCAGCGAGAGATCGCGAGTGTCTTGCAGTACGTGGAGATGCTGGTGCTGTGGGCGAAAGAGCTGAGCGACTGCAACAAGCTGCTGGAGGAGCAGATCGGGCAGTTCAAGAAGGCGCATGCGACAGGAGACGAGAGGGAGCTTATGATGAAGGTGTCGAAGCTGCTGAGCAACATCGTCACCAAGAAATGCATCCAGCAGCTTCAGCTCTCGAGGCCTCAGGGAGCCGAGCTGCTGCAGTGGATGCGGGAGAACGGCTTGATCTGCTTTGCCCGCGTCTTCTCCAAGAACGGGCTCTACTCGCTCGAGCATGTGGCAAAACTGGACCAGCAGGACTGCGAGAGCCTCACGTGCTCGCTGGAGAGTCTAGGGTCTGTGGGGAAGCGGATCGAGCTGCAGCTGGCGGTGCAGCATCTGAGAGGAGACATGCGAGCCAAGGACATGAACTACAGGCTAGAGAAGTTCAACGACTCCAAGGTCCCTGTCTTCACCGCCTGGTCGAGCTTGAGCGCCACAGAGATCATCTTGTCGAAAGTTTACTTCCAAACCTTGTTCTGTTTCTACGGACTTCTTTGCACATCTCAGACATTCAGGTCCATGTCAGAGCCCATGCACTCATGGTACGGCATTACTAACAGATCCACACCAGCATGGTGTATAGTCTTCCTACACTGGCCCTGTGGTGTGATCAAGGGAGCCTTGTGGCTCAAGGCAGTGTATGACGCCAGGTACAACTCCCCCCACCAGGCTTACCTCACGACTGTCTTGAACTTGAAGGCTCAGATCTTCCAAACCTTCTGTCAGATCCTCACGGAGATAGTCCAGCTGCTGGGGGGCTGGCATGACAAGACCGAGCCATGGACGCTGCACAAGAGCCTGACGCGGGGGTTTCTGTTCGAGTACTTCTCCCTCGCTCCCTTCATGCTTGTCATGGCCTACCTGTTTGTCAACCGTCAGGACCTGATCGTGAAGTTCATGGCGCTTCTTGGGGTGCAGCAGTGCCTTGTGCTGGCGCCAGTGCACCTTGCTCAAGCTTCGATGCTGAGAGCGTTCTACAACTTGGCTTCAGGTCTTGTGTTCTGGTTTGCGTACTTCACTTGCACGACTCTCAAGTGGAGCATCAAGAAGAAAGCGTCGAGGAGAGTCAATGGCGACAAGAAGAAGTATGCCGAGCAGTGGTCTCGTCTGCTGCAAGTGCCAGCCAACCAGGCGATAGTGACGAGGCTCATCGCGAGGACCGAGAGGATCGAGCAGACGGTCGACCGGGAGTATCGGGCCTGCTTCGCTGCTGCGACCATGACGAGGAGCTGGAGGTTTCGGAGTCTCTTCCTGGAGCCTGTAGGGAGGTTCTCCTTCAAGGGGAAGGTCCGCCAGCAGACCAACAACTTCGGTCAGCTCTTCTGGCAAGCCTCGAGTGTCAACGATCACTTCCACGAGTTCTTGGCCGACCTGCTCAAGAAGAACCTCTGCCATGACCTCAACCCCTCCCACCCAGCCGTCTCTCACGGCGAGCAGCAGCTCAGGCCCGAGCTTCGCTTCCTACAGCGCGCCTCTCTGAGGGGAGAGGTCAGGGTGGACACGTGGGACAACCTCATCTTCGTGCGAGGGCCCATCAAGCAGCCCGAGCGAGCCATCCAGAAGTGCGTCAGGATCTATGGGAGAGACTCTGCCTGCCTCACCGACCTCGTGCGAGCGACTGTGGTGGTGGAGCAGCTGGAGCAGGTGGAGCAGCTGCTGGCGTTCCTCGAGAGCATCTCCGTCATCGGCACCAAGCAGGAGCGGAGAGGAGGGAAGCAGCAGCAGCAGCAGCAGCAGCAGTCTCCTTCAAGTCAGCCCTTGTTCCGCATCGTGCGCGTCAAGAACAGGTTCTCGGACTCGAGCCGCTACTACGAGCCGGAGAACGCGTACCGGAACCTGTCGATCAACCTGGAGGTGGGCTGGGTCTTCGAGGAGGAGCAGTGTAAGTTCCTGCCGGTCAGCGAGTGGGACCTCAAGATGGCTGAGACCCACATCTGCGAGCTCCAGGTAAGACGCTGCCCGCCCCCAGCTGCTGTCCTGCTGCTTGTGAGGGGGAGGGGGGGGAGCGTTGACGAGTGAGGTGCAGGTACATCTGCTGTCGCTCTACGAGCAGTACCAGGAGGGATCCAAGAACTACGTGCTATGGCGCGACATGCTCACCAGATAGCCCAGCTGAGTAGCCGTAACGATTGGACCTTGTGATGCTTGTGCGTGTATGCTGAAGTTTTATCAGCTCACAAAGTTAAGCTCAGCAAACTGAGATACAGTTGTATTGGCTACTGCGGCATCACAAAGTCCGAAACTGCCCGCGGTCGCTGCGGCCCAGTAAGGCTGCCACTGGGCCACGTTACAAGTGTGCTGCTACCCAGCCTGCGCTCAGCCTCGGAGCCCGCCGGGGCTGCCAGTCGATCATGGCGGACTCTCACCGGCCCCGCTGGCCATGCCGCATGTTCACCCGGGGCCGGCGGCGTCTTTTCTCTTCTCGCCGTATCAGTGGCCGTCAGGGTCAAGCCTCCTTTACTCTCCTGGTTGTGAACGGTCCTCGTACTATACTAACTCTGCTTAACTTTGAGTAAAAATAGAAGGCTTGGAGCCTAGGCTGCTAGTCACACCGCGCGGCACCGTAGTATCAAGTTCAGCCGCGGTCAGTGAGGTCACTGACGGTCACTGAGCCCGCAGGGACCGGCCGGGCCCCGCCGGTTGAGCCGGTCGCCACCAAAGTAGTACGGTTAAGTAGTAGTGCTGACGGTAATACTCTTTATTGACTGAAAAAGAAGGGCAAACCGGAGCAAACAAAGGAGGGAAAGAATAGAGGCCACAAACCCGCCTCAATAAAATACTAGGAAAGGAAGGAGGCAGAAAACCGCTGCAAGCGACGGCACTGCCGCATGCCGTGACGACAAGCAGGGGAACAAGGATCAGGACAAAGAGCAGAAGCGCAAGGCTCCTGCGAGGAGGACGGCAAGACCCATACGAGAGCGATACTGCCGAAACAGGCGAGCACGCAAACGATGAAAGCCAGGTTCCGAAGTTCCAGGCTGTGTCCCTGCTAGCACCCGCCCGGGCCCGCCCGGCTGAAACGTAGAACCCCACTAGTTCTATGATTCAATGATTACCAAGTAATTCTGTCTTTTATGTAATTATATTCAATTAGCTGAGGCAGGCTTGAATTTTCTATTCGCTTCAAAAATAAATAATTTTAAAGAGCAATTGACAAAAGGCGAATCACGAGGGCGGCATGGCGACCAAGAAAGGATCGCAGGCGTTGCGCATGTACGTGTCGAAGATACGACAGGCGGTGAGGGAGGGGAAGGTAGAAGATGGTCTTGCTCTCCTGCGCGAGATGCTCTCCCTCGGTCATCAGCCTCCTTCCTTCGTCTTCTCTCATGTCCTCTACCTCCTTGAGACTCAGGGGCCTTCGAGGTTCGGGGATGTTCAGGAGCTCATGAAGGTCATGAAGGAGCAGAACGTGCAGCCGGAGGAAGCGTTCTTCACTACCCTCATTCGCTTCCACCTGGCCATGGGAAACCCTTCGAGCGCGAGGGAGGTGCTGGGGGAGATGATGAAGGCTGAAAATACTCTGCCGAAGCGAAGGACGTTCCTCCCAGTGCTGGAGGCCGTCTGCGAGGGCGGGAACGAGGAGGAGGCGTTCAAGATGCTGACACTGATGCGCGAACTTGGCATCGTCATGGGGGAGTCCGAGTTCATCTACCTGGTCAAGCTCTGCTCGTTCGATTACGCTCGCCATCGCATGCCAGAGGTTCTGGAGGAGATGAGGCAGGTGCTCTACGGCATCCAGCAGCCTCTGGCGGAGGAGCTGAGAAATTGGTTTGAGAAGACGCACAACGTGAGCACGGGACGCATCACTGAGTTCGGCATGTGCTCCGTGTGCCAGGCGCGCCTTGGCATCGTGGATGTCAAGGAGGAGCAGGTTGCACGGATGTGCGAGGATTTAGAGAAGATGATTCAGTTGGATCTTGACGGCAAGAGCAACAGCCATGAGCTCGCACTCCAGGACAACGTCTTCCGCACGGGGACGCCGCAGGGGTTGAGGGGAGGAACGCACTTCAAGACGTTCAAGGCATGGCTGGAGAAGAATGGGCCATGGGATGTGATAGTCGACGGGGCCAACGTAGGATACTACGGCCAGTCAGGGAACCAGAGGAGGGACCTACAGCTGAACTATCATCAGATAGACCGAGTGATCCGCTCTCTGCAGAGGAGAGGACATAGCGTTCGGGTGTTGCTGATCCTGCATGCTCAGCATATCAAGAAGGCACGTCACAATCCAGACGCGCTGAAGATGGTAGAACGGTGGTTGTCGGAAGGAATCATATACGTGACACCATCTGGTATGAACGACGACTGGTTCTGGATCTATGCTGGGCTGTGGAGCACAAGGAAGCTCAAGTCGACGCTGATCCTCTCCAACGATGGCATGCAAGATCACCATTACGCGCTGGTGGAAACCTCGAGGAAGTTCGGGGGGGAGGTGAACAGCAAGAGGATGATGGCAGACACTATCAGCTACCACAAGGAGTTCCTTAAGTGGAAGGAAAGGCACTGGGTCACCTACGAATGGTCCCGCTCCGTAGGAAGGATAGTCTTCAACTTCCCACTCCCCTACTCCACGTGTATCCAGGGCAGTCTGGCCCAGCCTTCCCCATCCTCCTCCTCCTCCTCCTCCTCCTCCAAGTTGCAGGCCCGCAAGATTGACCAGCTGATCACGTCTGCTCTCAACACAAAACTTGAGGACGTGACGTGGCATTTTCCAATCGCAACATCGACTGAGGAAGAGTTGGAGGATGTGCCGAGGAGCAGCAAACACAAAGAACCTTCGGACCAGCTTCCTTTCTCTGTCACTAAGTCCTCGACCTGGTTATGCGCTGCTTCCAGGAGGAAATTCAGCAGCATCGCAGCCCCCTATAGACAGACCTCCTCCTCCTCCTCCTCCTCCTCCTCCTCTTCCCCTTCCCTACGTCCCTCCCTGCTCTCTCCCCTTCGTCCCCTACCCTCCTGCATCGATCGGAATTGGGCAGTCTTGAGGAGCAGCGGGAGTAGCAGGAAGATGATTATGTAAGATGCTGCTTGTTCGTTTGGCTTCCTGCCTTTGTTCCTGCCTTCTTGCTTGGCCTCCTTTCCCTCTGACTTGCTCTACTCTCAATGCTTTCATTTGCTGCTGCTGCTGCTGCTGCTGCTGCTGCTGCTGCTGCTGCTGCATGTTGTATTGTTCTGCCATGCACTCCTCCTCCTCTTCCTCCTTCCCCTCCTCCTCCTCCTCCTCCTCCTCCTCCTCCTCCTCTTCCTCCTCCTTGACTTGCTCTACGTGTGGTTCGCTTGCTCTCACTCGCTCGCTCCCCCTCTCCTCTCTCTCACCTATCACGCAGGCAGGGGATGCGTCATGTACAGCCCAACTCAACACTCCTCCTCTCGCTCCGTCGATCATGGATGCTGTGCTCCAGACTGGTCTGAAGACGATGACGAGGACAGAGCAGCGAGAAGAGAGATGCTGGTGTTGTCCAAGGAAAATGAAGCAGATTGATGTCACAGGAGGAGGAGGAGGGGGAGGAGGGGGAGGAGGGATGGGGACAGTCGCTCAAGTATCTGTTCCCATGTGCGTTTCATTGTGTTTGACGTTATCACCGTAAAATTGTTTCTCCTCCTCCTCTCCCTCCTCCTCTCCCTCCCTCCTCGCCTCATCTCATCATTTCTCCCCCTTGCTCACTTTTGACTCACTCGTGTCTCCCCGCTTTGTCTCCTCTCTGCTCCTTTTCCTCCCCTCTCCTCTCCTCCCCTCCCCTCTCCTCCCCTCTCCTCTCCTCTCCTCTCCTCTCCTCTCCTCTCCTCTCCTCTCCTCTCCTCTCCTCTCCTCTCCTCTCACTTCCTCTTCACTTGTCCGTCAGCGCTCGGTAGCCCTGCCAGCCGACAGGGGCAGAGCCGTCCGCCCTTCCCTCCTCCTTGATGACGTTGAGCAGAGCAAGCGTGGGGCCGTCGCTGGGGTTCTCCTGGAAGCAGGAGAGGAGGTGAATTCTGGCCTGCCGCCAGTCAGCGTTGGCGCCTCCCTCCTCCCCCAGGTAGTTCTTCATCGCCTTCCTCCACTCCTGCCGGAACTTTTGGGTGGTGGAGGGGGCGAAATACTCGAAGAACTCTTTCGTTGTCATCTCGGGATCTAGAGCATGGGAGGGTCACATGGGAGGAGCAGAGGGAGGAGGGAGGAGGGGGACAGAGAAGGAGAACGGAAGGTAAGGGGGAGGGGCGGAGGAAGAGGAGCGGCGGTGAACGGAGGACGGAGGGAGGAGGAGGAGGAGGAGGAGGAGGAGCGGCGGTGAACGGAGGACGGAGGGAGGGGGAGGGGGAGGAGGAGGAGG